GTATTATTATGCAAATCAGCCAAATTAGTAATATAATCTTTCGAAAGCCACAACAAATTATCAAGCTCTCGAACTAATCTTGTTTTGAATAAATCAGCAACTTTCAAAAAGTTTTCAACATATTCAATTTGAGGTTTGATTATTGGCTGGTATTGTTTTATCCTTTCACTTTATTCTCCGTCAAAGGTCTCTTTAAGTCGTAGATAATCAACAATTTCTGCTTTGTTTGGATTCGATTTACTACAGGATTTGCATAAAAGTCTTTAATCGTTTGATAATTTAGTATCTAGAATGACATATTCTATTGGTTGTTTATGATATTTGCATAAAAATTCATTTTCTATTACTTTTGGTTGTAAAAATTACATTAAATTAATTATTAAATATTTAATTTACATTAATATATTTTTATGATTGATTGTAATCTCCATTTATACATCTACACAAATATAAATCATTTAATTGAATTGGTATTTTGAGAGTATTAAGATTATTTTTATTTAGTATTTATTTTTAATTAATTGACAATTAATAATCTCACTTTATAATACTTATGAAATTATCACTTCTAAATATTGGAAAATATAAGTGTGAAAATCTATATTAGACTTTTGAAATTATATATAATTAAATAAGTCGTAAGAGATGAATTTATATAAATTGACGTTATCATTAGATTGATCTTATAATATATCTCTCATATTGATTCAGGGACATTATTGTAATGGAAAAAGTAAATTCAATTCTACAAATCAGCTTCATCATTCCATTCCAACTTAAACATTAACGAAATAATTTCTAAATTATTTATTATCAATGGTAGAAAAAATGACATAAATTTTAAAGTGAGGCAATAAATGTTATTATAATGAAATCTTGTAAGTTTACTTTAAAATTTCTTTGGAAACATATTTGTGTTTATCATTATATTTCTTAGATTTAAGCAATTTGATTATTTTTGATGAAAATCAATTTAAGTTCTTATATTATTTTTTTTAGGACGCCAAAACATTTAACAATAAAAATTAAAAATATGATGAAAATAATTAAATCATTCTAATTTCTACGTTTTCATTAATTGAACTGATTTGGTTTCTCTGGTAAGGGTTGCTCCAAAGGTTCTTCTACTGAAGTTTAAATTTGTAATCGCTGTGGATTTTTAATGCATGCTAGGTGGTGAATGATTGCGCCTAAAATAATAACTAAAAATGATTACTTGATATTAGTTTATAAGAAGTTCTTTGGTTTGAAATTGCTGCTATTATTTGCAATTAGTTTAGCGTCAACCTTCGGTTAGGCAACTGGAGGTTCATACTTTGGTAAGGTGCCTCTGACTTTGTAAGACCAATACATGTCATCAGTCTCAATAATCAATTTACCAGATCTAATCTATCCATACTCAAGAGGTGTAAAAGTAATGATGAATTAAGTGCCCTCCCTTCCATTTGGTTACAATTCTCCATATTTTGGAGTAACTGAAAATTCTTAATCAGAAGCTGGAGTGAAGTATGCTCTGAAAGTAGCCTGATGCTTAGTACGATTAGTTATTCTAAATGAAACACTAGTAGGCTTATTGAGTGGACTAGTGATAATGATGAGATCATCTATGTCAGGTTCGGTAGCATCCAGATTCATGGGAAATTTCCAAACACCCCCAATATCTCTTTTGATAATCAAATCAAAATTAGCTTTAAAAGGTTTTAAGGGGATAAAAGCAGCATCAAAATGAACCTCATCACAATCATCAGCAGAGGATTGAATCATTTTGATTTTAAAGAATTTATCGACTAGCATCTTAACATCTTCTGAAATATTCTTGATTTCGAATGTGAAATTAGATTTACCAATTTTATCAACTCCAGGCAATGAAAATTTAAATTCTTATAAGAATGAGATTCTGCATTTAGTTTTAAATTACGTAAATTTTCCAGTTGCAAATGATTCAGTGTGTCCAGTAATAGGATATCTCCATTTAATCTTTTCATTCATGGCAACGACCAACTCACACTTATAAGATCTGATACTTCTAGGAGTAAAAGAGAATGGAATTTAAATTTATTATAGTCCAGCAATGGTTGTTTTAGTGTCATTCTTCTTTTTGATTAGCAGTTAAAAGGCATCGTCATCTGATTCAATCATAATTTGCACCTAGATTGTATCTCTGAATGGATTCTTAAAATGGATTACATCTGAATAATCTTTATTAATTCCAACAGTCACAGTCATTTCTGGGAATGCAGTTGGAGGTATTCCGACTCCATAAACTAAATATTCCCATTTTCCGATTTCCTATGTGATGAATCTTATTTCCCCATTTTAAATTTAATCAAGACTGCTTGGAGTAAATCTTATATACACACTTGTATCACAATGAGGTTTCAAGACTATATCAGCAGGCAACACATCAAAATTGGCAGGATTACTAATTTAAATTTGCACATTAACTTCTTTATCAATAGGATTTTCCAATTGAATTTCATATTCTTCAACTTTACCTAACTCCGTTTTCAGAGTAGGGATTCTAATACTCTGTCTCTCCTCGGATATTAAACTCAAATTATACCAAATCTCGCCCAATTTCGGATGAATAAAGCCAATAACTCCTTTTTTCTTTTCTGGCAGAAGTGGTAAATAATAGAGTTCATATATCGAACTCATTTAAGGTAAAATAGTGAAAGTCTTACTACCATGTAAGTTATCGCCTTCGATTCTCACTTCAAAGGTTGCCTGTTCAAATGGCATAGGATTGCTGAGTTCTATTTCAAAGCTAACTGGTTTTCTCACTTGAGTTGAAATTTCTACTTCCTTTTCAGCAATAGGAGAATCAGTATCTAATACAACAGTGTACCAAATGTATTCACCACTTTCCTCATAAAATGTAATAGATCCATTGTATTATCCACTTAGCATTGGCATAACTGATAATTCATAACGATATTTTCTTTACGGAGCAATTGTAAAATTCTATAATCCACTTGCATTGATCAAATCAGTTTCTACTTTGTATTTCATTTCATTTTAAGAGCGATTGAACAAAACGATTTCTGTTTTTGTCTTTTATCTAGCCTTGCATTCGAGTACAATATTTGACTAGGCTAGAGGTTCTTCTCCTATTCCTGCAATTGTGTAATCATAGATATCATTTGTATTTGCATTAGTAATTTGCAGATGAGCCTCTACTTTACACATCCATTTTGGTGTAAATTGTAATTTGATGTCAATCTTAGTTTTTTTCTTCAAAACATAATCTTTGTACCCTCCAATAAATATTGAACTATGTCCATGATCAGGTTATGCGGTTGGCACATTGATCAACGAAAAGCAATTTCCTTCTTAATTTAATAGAAACTTGAAAGTCCAATCCTTATCACTTGGATTTGAAAATGGAATGTCTTGAACTATACTCTCTCTCGATGGACATCTCATTTCCATTTGTGCTTTAGTGGGTTTTGGCAAAGCAGTCACTAAAAACTTGTACCTTCGTACATCTGTTTTATCGTTACTTCTAAGAGTCATAATAATTGGCATGTCCTTAACTGGATTCTTGAAAAGAAATTATAAAGGCATTTTATTAACATCAGGTAACATCGAAATATTAGTGGTAACATTATTTGGATTAGCAGTGATATTGCTTATCATAGAAATATTCTTTATTTCTGTATTTTATCGAGTACCCTACTATAATTATTATGTTTATTATTATTATTATTATTATTATTATTATTATTATTATTATTATTATTATGGTTGCTATTACTATAATGCTTGCATCATTTTTTCCTTCTCTAATTGCTATTATTTCTCTAATTTTTCCCTTTGCACTCGATTAGCTTTCTATTTCTATAAGTCCTAAACTGTAAATTATTTAGGAGCTGTCAAGAATCCAAAGTGATTGCTTAATTCAATTTCAAAATTAATAGTTTCAGGTTCTCCTCCAGGTAATTATAACTACTTTTTACTTGTATAATTTAGTATTGATTCTCTAGCCTTAAAAATCTATTCATTTTTTGGTAATATCATATATTCCATGATAGCAGGCTAATCAACGAACACCTGATATTGTTTTACTTCTTATTAAATTTCAGGTAATTCTGCAGTAGCCAATATTTCATGTTGAAATTCTCCGACATTTGGATCGGTAAATATGAGGAAACATCTCTATTATTCTAAGACCATGGGCACATATCTCAATTATAACTGTAATTGGGCTCCCTTTTTCATTTTGACTATTTCAGATTAACAGAAAATTGCAGGGAAAACTTCCTTTTATTATTCAATTTACTGGGATTTATTATTATTATTTTGGATGGGTTTCCTTTTATTAGTTTCAATCACCTTTTCAAATAACATCTTAATTTGGAAATTACCAAATTCTGACTTGGTGAACTCATTTGAGATTTGAAGATAAAAGTCTTTGCTTTCATAGAGAGGAGAACTGACTTCTTCGACTGATTTACTTTCTCTTCCCAATATTTAAGATTTGAGATCGTACACAATAGCAGCAGTAAATAGGTTATGTTCTCTCTTAGGCATAAAAGTAATTCTATCAGTTACAGGTTATGAAATTCTAGATACAAATTTGATTTTGTAAGGCAAATGTTAATTTGGTTCTAATTTGATATGATCTCCTCCTTCTAATTTGAAATCTTCTTCCTTCTCCAATTTAACCCAATAAGAAACTGGTCTGTTGTTCTTATTTATAATAAGTAAAGTTCTGGAGATTGATTGACCCAAAACGCAAGAGAATACTTCGGTTCCTTTATTCAAATAATTGGGCAATTGATTAAATAAGTGTAATACTAAAATAAGCATTTCCCTGCCACTTGGTTCAGCGAAATTGCCTAATTCAAAAGGAATCGAAAATTTCATATCCATTAAAGCAGCTAATACTTTATTAGAATTTAGTTTGAAATCTTAAACGGTCTCACACACCTTTAAACCAGACAAGTATTTGGTCAACGAGGGTCCCACATAATGTTATAATGCAGCAGCAAAATAATGGCAATCTTTCAACTATTCAAAATATTTCAATCTTGGGAATTGGTGTCCTTCCGATTCAGCACAGACTTCAAGCCATCTCATCAGCAATCCTTCTTGAGGAGAATAAATGTTGCTCCCATTTAGATAGCAATCTGGAAGTGTTTTGTCTCCCCAACCTGGAATCTATCGAAAATATTTTATGTTAATTCTTTGGAGACCATAAATCTTTAAAATCTAGTGAAATATAGCACACCAAGAATCAATTGATATGTAATTGTATCTCTGTTATGTTATTTTCAACACACTAGGATGTACTTATTCCTTTTCGTCCTCTGGCAATAATTTGAAAGCAGCATTCAAGTCACTAAAACTGAGAAGGTGATAAGGACGAATATGATTAAGGAGGGCTCCCTCAGACTTCAACATTCTTATGAAATCATCATATTATTTCAACAACTAACTTATTCTCTCTTGTTTTTTAGCGTTCTTATCTAGATAAGATTAACACGGGAGTGGTAAAGATTTGCCACTCAACACAGAGGTTAATTCAAAAATGGGTTAGCCATCCTATTCTATGACTCCTTCTGGAAAAGCATGGATATTGGCACTCCATAAGAAAAACTTAAGCCATTTGGTTGCATACTGTTTATTCTATTCGACCAGATCTTGTGGAATAGGAATGTAACCAAGTGCACTTGCAGTAGTTTGATTACTCATTGAACTTAGAGATCTGTAACTAATGACACTTGGAGCTCCTTTTTTATGAGGACTTTGAATATCAGAATTAGCATCATCGTCATCATCCATCAAACAAATTGGACCTTGGGTGGTTTGACCTTAAGAAATCTTTTCATCTATTTTGAATTCATTAGCACATCTCTATTGATAACTAAAACTAGTTAGTAAACAATTATCTGCAGTTCCAGAAACAGGAATTGTATACACCTTGCCCATTTCATCGTAAAATTCGATCTTAGTAGTGAATGAAACTGATTTTGATGACTAAAAGAGAGCGTCTACTCTTAATCTCTTTTTGGACATTCCAACACTTACTCCTTCAGGAAATCTCAATTTCACATTAATGTTTCCCTCTTCTCCAAAGACTTTGTGTCTAAGATTTAAATTCTCATATCCATCATTCAATATTTTAAATGAACATTTGGATTCAATATTTAATGGAACTGGAGGCAATAAGACCTCTCTTCTATCAAATAATATTTTTGGTTAGGCTGCTTTCCCTTTGAGTATTAATTCTAGATAACAACTTTCTTGGCTATCAATATACACTGGAATATTCTTTTGATAGTCATCTGCTTTTTATGGATTAAATGAAGCCTTTACTTTCACTGTCTATCCTGAATCTATCTTTCCCTCTGTTGGAGTGATATTGAATATCTTATCAGTTGTTATTGAGGTGACATCCATTCTCCAATACACTGGTTTCCTCTCTGGATTACTTAAGGTAATTTCTACAGTAGCAGCAAAACATTTCTCCAATGAAGTAATGATCTTTCTTGGAAA